AGTTTAAGATGTTGTCAAGATTTTCTTCATAGCTACACCTACACCTCAGTAGGAGTTCTTTAAGACGCTCAGTGTGTATACCAATGTTTACTCCCTTTGAGTGAATAAGTTCGCATATGTAGCATATTGTTTCACTCAGTGGGATGTTTGTGAACAATGACATGACATATAATGAATCACGGTCTTGTTGGATACGCTGACATTTTCGATTGAGTGAGTAAAGTTGAATGAATCCCAAACTGTTTGGCAGGAAACTTGTCTTCTGATTGGTTTTAGCAGGTCTGCTAACTATCGAGCTGTGTGGTGATAAGGCGATATGTTCTGTGTTTAACACTGTGAGTTAAAGTTTCATCCACACAATTCCACCTTACCTCTGGAGTAGGATTAAATGTTGTGTTAAGAGCAGTGTTTCCCCAGATGTCCATAAAGATATCTGCTACGATAGGGGATAGGGATATTGGTGATCCATACCATTGCTAACCCTTCTGTTTGTCTATTTATTTTAAAGATAGTATATGCGAGACATAACTGAACTCCTAAAATAATTTTCTCACTGAACAGTTTTGATCCATGAATAAGTTCAGGATCAGCAGTTGGTTCTTTTCTAACTGCTTCTGACGCCATATTGATTGGTATATTAGCATAAAGACTAGTAATATCAAAACTAAACATTTTGGTTTTTTTGAGTTGATGCCCATCGTGATCTAACCTTTCCAGCCTACTGTGTGTCTGTGTTAGGGATGATATCTTCTGGTCTTAGTTCATTAACCGTTTTATTGAAATTTAATCACTTTTCAAGTAGTTTTATATCACTAGAACTTTATTCTCTTGATAACACTAATATTATTTCCATATGTACTTTATATTCCTTTCTGTTTTACGCATGTCTATCGAACTTTTATTGAGTTTTATTCATATGTCTAATCAATTATTACTCATGTGCATAAACGAAGTCAGAAAGTTGCGTGAGTGTGTACCTACCTTGATATGATATGATTATGAGCTGCAGTAATAAATTGGGGTGCTCGAAACGTGGTCATCAGTATATATTACTATGTAACTCTATGTGATTTAATCAAAATAAAATTTTATCCATGATGGAATCAAACAATCACAGAGTTTTATCAACGCCTACCTCCTTTGGAGTATTTGTAATCAAATGGCCAAAGTGTTTTAGCATAAAGAACTCTGCTAATGAACTAACCAAGAATACACAAGCTTAAAAAATGAAGAAGGGAATGAATATGGATTTGAAATGCACAGAGAAAACCACTGAGTGACATCACGTGCAAGATCCTATAGTGGAACCTGAATAGGGAACAGCGAGTTGAGCATCTGAGAGTGACATGGGGGAGATATTGTGAGCAGTCCAGGAACAACCTTGAAGCCAGAGGAAAAATCTAGTGGAGAACCGAGCAAAATGGAGATGTACTGTCCAAGCCTTATGTTCCACCTGGAACCCCAAGGAACAATAATATAATGATAATAAGAAAAAAATGTAGGTTTGAGATTTCCTATGGAATACTTCCAGGCATTAGACGATCATTCAATGTCCACATGTTGACATATGTGTTAGTTTAATGACCAAATTACAAGCCCAAATGAAAACTTGACATGACACCCATTAATCATTATAAACTAATGACTAAATTGTTCTACATATATTATCAAGCTGTACAATCGTATCTACACATATAGCTTTTAAGAAGTTATACCCGGTGAGAGAATTAGACCAAAGATGTGAATACATGTAACAATAATAGTACCAATATGAAATGCAATTAAAATATTTGTGATTATAATCTTAGTTCCAACGAAAGCCTTATTCATGAACTTGGAATTCGAAGCTGACCAAGCTTCAGATATGCTCAAAAACCGTCTCTCTAAATCAGTCAGTAAGACGTTCTTTGCAGCAAAATTATAAATGAAGTTCACCAGCAGCAATTCGTCCACCATCTCTGTAAAAGATAAGCTCCTACATCTGGCCACCTCCATGCGCATATATCAGTTCAGCTGCTCCTCTTGTAGACCAAGGTACATTGGCCATAGCCAGAGAATGGTGCTTTCCATACGGATACGAGAATATATTCCAGCAGCATGATTTTACAAGGGAAAAAGGAAGTGTGTGCAAAGCTCTATTCTAGGACACCTGATCGACTCCTGTCACTCTGCCAAACCTGACCATAATTTGAATATCAACTATCGAATCCGTGCTAACTTGACAGAAGCATTTTCTTCGTTACAGACTTCTAAAGACAGAGGAGACATTGACTATCCATTCATGACTTTAAGCCAGCCACACCTTTGTGTATAAAAGAAGTATGTACAATTCCTACTTCTGTCTGGGCTGTGGAGGCATAGACATTTATTTATTTATGTATTTTGTTTATTTAGATATTCTATGTACCTTTCCCTTATTATCACGATTATTATTATTATTATTCCTACTATTCTCACTGGGAATTGTTCCCGCTTGTCCCACTTGTCTCTGTCATTCTAAATCCAAAATTATAATTTTTTCTGGTTTTTACAATATCGATCTAATTCCCTTACCAGATATAACTTGTTAAAAAACCACCTATATATGATTGTACAGTTTGATAATACGTTCGTTGTTAGTAAGAGTTTCCTAGCGAAATAAATTTACAAATTAAATAGAGGGTGGGATGGGTTGCTTTGAAGGGGGATCTATGTATGTAGTGCAGTATAGTGTAGTGTGATGCATTCTACTAGTGAGGAATGAAATATATCTCGTCAGTGAAATGTTACGAAATTTTATGACAACAATTCAGTGGACTCACACAAAAAACTTGGAGGATCTGGACTCCGCCGATGATATATGTCTGATTTCCCACAAACAGGAAGATATGCAAGTGAAAAGCAACAAGCTGGTGGTAGAAGAAGCATCAAAGATAGGACTTCAAGTGAACATAGATAAAACAGATGTGGTGATGAAGATTCCTGGCCAACACCAACAGCCACACAACAACAACAGACAACAATCAGCCAGCATAAATGGAGGAACCTGATAAAAGCAACCTCCTTTCCCTTCCTGGGAAGCATCGTTTCAACTTCAGGCAAACGGAAATGACGAGAATATCAAAGCAAGAATCGGAAAAGCAAGACAAGCTTTCATTACTCTCAAGTCTGTGTGGAGGTCAACAGCACTCACCATCAAAAATAATATCCGGATTTTCAACTCCAATGTGAAGTCAGTACTACTGTAAGGATCAGAGACTTTGCCAGCGCGTCATAAAGAGCACCTCAAACAAACTTTAGACCTTCGTTAAGAGTTGTCTTCTCTCAATACTAAAGATCAGATGGCCAGCCAGAAACGACCAGCAACAGGGATCTCTGGCAGTGAGCGAACCAACCAGGAACCGATTGTGCAAAACGAATAGGCAGGAAGAAATAGAGATGGATTGGAAGCCATACTCTGAGGAAACCATCAAGTGACATCACTTGACAAGCCATTGCTTGAGTGGAACCCGAAAGGGAAGCGGTGAGTTGGTCGTCAGTGCAACGGTGACTTGGAGGAGGTCATGTGAAGAGGAGATGAAAGCTTGTGAGCAGACTTGGAGCGGGGTGAAAAAGTTGGCAGAAAACTGAACGCAATGGAGACGCGCGGGTGAAGCCTTATGTTCCTCTAGGAATTAAAGGATATAATAATAAATAATCATAATAATTCAGTTAAGATGAGGTCGAAAATGTAAAACCAAAAATAATTTATGAGAAATATCTATGCGCAGTTAGTTCGTTTATATCACACAAATCAGACTAACTATACGCATAGAAAACGAAATGATGTTTCAGCTCAGTGGTTGAACAATAATAATACGCAACAAGAGACGTTCACCGAAGAGTTAATGTTTTCAGCGCTGTGATTCTCAAGCTGTTGAATGGCTTGTCTGTGTATATTTGTATGTAGAGAGAGAGGGAGATCGAGGGAAGAAGAGAGAGTGTGTACCATCATAGCAACAATTGGAATATTTCCAAAGATGTATCGTTGGAATGGCAAGCTCTAGATAACAATTACGTAATGCAGGAATCATTACTTAGATAGAAAGTGAAAAGGATTTTAAAGAGAGAAAGTCGAATGACGTAGCCTAAATGATAGGAATGAGTAAAGCTCAAATTAAATCGAAACAGGGTCAAGATGAGTGTTATACAGAGTAAAAGTGTAGTAAGGGGGGGTGAGTTAAAGGAGAAATATAATTAGAGAAATTGCAGATTTAGGATTAACAAAAACCATGGATTAAGGTTCATTAACTGAGTACAGTACATCTGCATTCAGAAACAGGATTTAACAAGTGGATTGCCATAGCTCCTGCGGTTTGATGAGTTTTGGTTTGTACCTTTTGACAAGACTTCGGTGAATTGTATTATGTCACTCTGCTTATCTCTTTTTACTTTATATTCGATTGATGCCTTCTGTATTGCGTAATTGTTTTCTTAAACTTAGAGTTTTAGTGACAAAATCTTTGAAAACATTTCTCTTGTTCCTATAAAAATGCATTATATGCACATGAAATTTCATAACTTCAGAACCATATGTTTCAGGATTTCATCATGAAACGACATTAGTTACAGAACCATTGGAAAACCAGTTGGGAGCACTGGACTATCAGCTGTTTCTTCAGGCTAGACTAGGACTTCTCATCAGCACGCACCCACCCCGCCACAAGGGTTAAAACCTAGGACCTTCTGATTACACGGCGAGTTAGCTTGTAGACCATGAAGCCACTGGGACCCAGCCGATCTAATGGTCCACGAAATAATGGTGAAATCCTGAAGCTAATGGAATCAAAGCCACAATAATATGCGTCAATTGGATTGAACTACTCAATGTAGGGACAAGTCAACAATCCTTTAAAGCGGTGATACACCCAGGTGACGGTCCCCAAACGGAACGAAACTCGCTTTATTGGTAGGCCAACAATAATCCAAAATAAGATAATCAACATTAATGTATACATATATACAACACATATATTACTCACCTGATAAACGAAAACACATTGTCCATATACCAGCTTGTAAATTCATGATTAACCATAAATTACGATTCATTTCATCGTCAGTATTCCCGTCTAATAAATCACCTTGTTCCACTAATTGAATCCATTCTTGTCGTGTAAATGTATACTTATTACGATTGAATAATCTCGGTGTAACTGGTGTTTCACGTAATAAATGCTTCGGTGTGTTACTATGACTATTACTATTACTATGGATACTATTACTCATACTACTACTGGCATCTACTTGAGGAATATGTACATCAGAATGAACAACAATTCCAACAATTTCATTCATTTTATACGTTACTGTAAGACAATTCTTATAATAATTTTTTAATTTACGCCAATTTAATATTTTACCATCACGAAAAATAATAAATTCCAGGGTGTAATTATGCTGATGTGAATGTTGATGGGGATACTGCTGCCGTTGGTACTGTTGAGGATGACTTGTCCAATAATTTGATTCATCCAACATCATTAAATCATTGTGATGATTTAAGAAAAACGATGCATTCTGAATATTGACATTTGTTTCATAACCACTACTTATACTACTATTATTATTATCAGTAGTACTAGTGGTGGTGGTGGTCATAATTGAACAATTCTGATAAACAGAAAACATTTCTAATATTTTAATAAATTTAAAATGTACATTCTCCCATTCTGGTGTTAATGTAGCTCCAATAAATAATAATGCACCAATACATGGCATAATAATAGCTAAAAATAATGTTTTCCGATATACAGGATTCAAGGGGATTGGTGTTCGTACCAGACGCCATCGATGCGATTTCTTCTTTTGTATATACTGACGTGTATAAAGATTCACTACTGTAGAATTATGACGGTGTAATAGGTTGTTATTATTATTACTAATGTTATTGTTCAAATTATTTATTGTATTACTGACTGTCGTATTATATAATCCGATAGTTGAAACAGAACTTGATCGACGTGATTGCGGTGAAGCTGGTTGAGTCAATGATGTCATATGCATTATTTTTCACAAAGATTTCTGGATAACAATTATCGGGGATATCAGCATAACAATCTTAGAGGCTATTTTTTTTACTTTTGATCTTGTCAGTGAGATACAAGCAACCTTCAATACAATAATTTCAGTCAATCTTGATTGAATATTGCCACTGCTATTTCCACTGATCATTGAATGTAACGTTATTTATATGCGGAAAATATACAAATAACAGAGGAGTTGGGAGAGAGAGAGAGGGAAAGACAAGGAGATTGTGAGGTGGACAGATATACAAACACTCATATATATGTATATATTTACATGGAGATATGCTTTTATTGATTGTATATTTTGTAAATCGGACAGACTAGATCGACCGACGGTCAACTCCTTTCTCAGTTTAACCCACCTACCTACCTATCTATCTATCTATCCATCTATCTATCTATCTATCTATCTGCTCATCTACGCATTCAGCTGTTTGTTTGTTTGTTTTTTCAATTCAATCATGATGAATGCAAGAATGCAAATTTGTTTCGTATGAGTAGGGAAAACTGAGAAGGAAGGAGAGAGGCAAAGAGAGAGGGAGAGAGTGAGGGGCGGTGGACGAAACAACCTTGTAGCATTGTAGTTACACATTTGAAATGAACTTGATTAGCAGCAGACGAGGGAAACAGAAATAAAGAAGAAAGAATAATCAAACTACACGGAAAAAAAAATAAAAGACTGACTAACTAACTGACAAATGACATGAAATAAAGTAAATCAATAAATAATTATAAGTTCAAACATTTATAATTGGCTTGATTGATAAATAAGGTCGAATATTATTCCCCAATTCTGTCTCACCGTTTACCTTATACATCGATTTTACCTGATTATATGAGTCAGATTGGCAGGGTAGGAGGTAGGTTAGAATATACTCCTTTTTTTATAGGATAAATGTAGCCGTTTAAGGGATAAAATTATGCAAAAATAGATAAGGAGAAACAGGGTTTTCTTTTCAATTCATATGAGCTAAAAATTATAAATAAAGTGTGCTGGGTAGCTGGGCAGCTCATCATGAGATCCTGTAACTACTCAAGTCCCTGAAAAGCAACACTTGAATATCAATTTGTTGGTCACTAACGACTGGCCGTATTCAGGTAGGTATGTGAGAAGTCATGACCAGTGAAGTACAGCAGGTCAAGTATGAGGACATGAAGTTGGACTGGTTGGCCATTCGATTGGCCAGGTCCCAGTAGCTTAATAGTCTGTGAGCTAGATCACCTCGTAATCGTAAGGTCCTGAGTGGTTACCTACTGATGAGGAGTCCCAGACTAGCCTGACAAAACAGCTAGCTGTCCAGTACTCGAGTGGTAGTTATCCAATAGTTCTCTAACGATGTCACCTACTGATGAAAACCTGTAATCAATCAACTCCATGCGAACCAACACATGAAAAATGATTTCATTGAAATAAGAACCTTTAATTATATTATTATTATCATTGTTCCCTTGGGTTCCTAGTGGAAGATAAGGTTTCAGCTGCACGTATCCACTTGCTGCTGTCTTCCTTATGCTGTACTTTTCACCTCCATCCAAGTTAGTCCACACTCTTTCAACTCCTCCTTACACGATCTCCTCCATGTCACCCTTGCACTGACGTCCCACTCACCGCTTCCCTTTCGGCCTGGTTCCACTCAAGCAATGGCCTGACGCACGTGCGATGTCATCCAGCGGCCTTCTCAGCCAGTCTCCAATCCATCCATCTACACTTTCTCCTGCATATTTCTTGGTTGGCGATTGGTTCTTGTTTTGTTTGTTCCTTCACATAGTTTCTTGTTGGTGATTGTTTCCGGCCCGGCCATCTCATCTTCAGCATAGAGCGATAGTTGACAGTAGTTGATTAAGGTCTGCAACAGGCTGCTGGAAATATTCTTTGTGACCCACCCGCCAAGTTTCTGATCCGTATAGAAGAACTGACTGACTTGGCGTTGTTGGCATTGAAAATCCGACTGAATTTTGTTGTTGATGCAGGCTGAGTGACGAAGATTTCCAGATTGGTTTCAGGTTGATGAATGTGTGTGTTTCTCGCCTTCCCGATTGTCACTCGATTTGACATCCTCGTCCGTTCTGACTGCCTGCAGTTGAGACAATAGTCCCTAGATAAGTGAGTGAATGAAGTAAACACTTTCAAATCCCTCCTGTTGACGGTGATTGGGGCTGGATGTTGGATGTTATTAAAGATCAATAATTCTATGTTGTTATCTCTTTCTTACATGAACATTAATGTTGACAAAGTTGTCTTGTACTGACAATCGATAAAAAAGGGAGAAAAAAAGAGAGAACGAGAGAGAAGATTAGCAAAGCGAATAGTTAGCGTTGATCGACTAACTGACAGACAGATCATGCTGTAAAACACGAAAAAATCCATTTTTATTCCTACCAAAATCGATAATATCTGAACAAGGGAAAACTATTATTCATGTGTTTGCAAGCGATTGGACAGGAAAAAAAATGAAACTAGATAGTATTAGTAGCAGTAGTGGGGGTGTGACAACAGAGGGCAAGACATGAAAGCAAAGGTATATTTTTAAGTGTTCAAACAGCTATTTAGCGATTTCTAAATGAATTAATTCGTCTGACTTTTTATATCAAGAAGTTAAGGCACTCAGGCATAACCCAACCACTCCTCCTGTTATTGTTTGTCAACTCGTGTATCTCACCTATTCTTCTTTACTGTTTACCCTCGCTTATTCTTTCCTGGATTGCTTAAAAAAGACTACGTCATACCTCGTAGAACTCTGAAGACTGTCAGTAGGACAAGTGGTGGTATGCCATTAGGCCATATCGTTGACTTTGTCTCTTGCAGGCATCTGATATCATGCAATAAATTTGTTAAAGGAATCTCGTCAGACTGTCAGCTTCCACACCAGCACCCGCAGCTCCAACCTTGTGTCTTCTCAGGTAAAACAAAAAGTCTTCCCAGAAGCCTTTATGCACGTACGTCTAAGTATAAAAATTCCACTATACCATATTTGGCGGCACGTACTTCATGCGATGAAAATAGTGTCAGGCACCGACGAACTAAACAGCCTTCTTTCCACTATGAAATAAACCATTTCTTCAACCATTACAGTACCAAATTTGATTTGACACCAGTAACTAGTGTGATGTATCTAGTCCTCTCATTGGCGCAGACTGAATTCTATCAGTTAGGTTGTAATGTGGCCACCATTCTAGCTAGCTCGCCGTCATGGTGCACGTTGATTTGATAATATTAGATGGTTGAAGGTAATCGGCATGAAGCCTTGGACCTAGGTTCCGTGCTAGTTGGCACTCATCAGCAAGGCGTATCTACAACCTTGAAGGAACTCATGTCCCTTCTGAGATTCGAACCCGTGTCACCCAGTGCCGCCTGCAGTCAGAGACGTTACCACTGAGCTATTCGGGCTCGCGACTGACCTCCTGTAGGACTGTAGTGGATACTTTGATTTGACACTAGTAACTAGTGTGATGTTTCTAGTCCTCCTATCTTTGGTGCAGACTAAATTCTATCAGTCAGGTTATAATGTGGCCACTATTCTAGGTGGCTCGCCATCATGGTGGACATTGATTTGATGATGCGCCAAAGAGAGGACTAAAAACATCACACTAGTTACTAGTGTCAAATCAAAGTATCCACTACAGTCCTACAGGAGGTCAGTCGCGAGCCCGAATAGCTCAGTGGTAACGTCTCTGACTGCAGGCGGCACTGGGTGACACGGGTTCCAATCTCAGAAGGGACATGAGTTCCTTCAAGGTTGTAGATACGCCTTGCTGATGAGTGCCAACTAGCACGGAACCTAGGTCCAAGGCTTCCTGCCGATTACCTTCAACCATCTAGTACGAAACTTTATTATTATTGTCTTTCTTATATTTTTAATCCCCTCAATGTTTTGTTTTTGTTTATTTTTTTCCATAAGTGTGAGCATCATTTAAGTTGGGTTATAACTGTTAATTTTGTATTTCTCCTCACCATACTATATCAAGAGAACATTAGATTCAATAATCTATAACATGCTAAAATTTCCAAACTGAATCGACAATACTGTTTGAAACAAACTCACTGTTACTATTGTTATTATTATTAATATATTTAACATTCTATAGTTTGGTTTGTAAGGATTAGTTATGTTTTACGGGTTGATCACGGATTGATATCAGTTAGAGAATTAGTAGAAGTTAGAATTCACGAGCCATTGAATCGGGTTCCAGTGGCTGAATGGTATACGAGCTTGCCTTGTAACCGGAAGGTCCCGGGTTCGAATCCCAGTGGGTGCGTACTGCCGATGATTCCCAAACTAGGATGAAACAGCAGCTGTCCAGTACTCCCTGGTTTTCAATGGTTCTCTAACTGATATCAATCCGTGATCAACCCGTAAAATATTTAACATTCTCATTTCGTGCTTCGAATATTTTTGACTTGACATTGTAAACGTGGACAAATTCCTGTGGGTAATTTTGTTCAAATTTTTAACATTATAAGTACTGTCTGTTTTAAAATAAAGTAGATTATTATTAATATTATATCCATACAGTTTGTTTTCGTCAACCACTCAGCGAGCGGGTGATTTCGGCTTACATTAAACGACATGAAATATAATGTTCAAATACATATATAGGATTCTTTTGCTAATACAGTATTGAACTGTGGAAATGTGTGAGAATGATATTCCGTTGGAACAGAAATTGTCTGTATCACACCATCACACTCGTCTCCTCGTCAAATACTTTCGATTGAAATCGGTTCTGTCTTCTCGGTGCTGGGGCTTTGTTTGCTTGTTTTGTTGTATTGAATTCCGAAGCTCACTGGCGTTCACCCGCCCCTTCTTTTGTTTGCATTTCTGATGATATATTCGTGACCCTGTCTTACCGTGACCATGTATAGTCCTTTCCACTTTGAAATCAGTTTACATGACCCTGGTTGTCGCCTATTCGCTGGTGTTTCGCCTCACACTATCATATATGCCGCGTTTGGCTGACCTCCTAACAGTGTTCCAAGTAACAGCCTCATTGTTGATGGATCATAAACGCCACTCAACTGTGCGACAGCCTCGAAGTCCTGTCAAAAGATCCATGTATTTCCTTCTTCAAAAGCTGCATAGCATAGGCTTTCCATTTGTCTGCAGGCAGCTTCACCAAATGTAACAACAGTAGGCAAGACATGGAAGCAAAGGTATATTTCCTTCATCAAACTGCTGTTTATGTATCTACAGTTTATATTCGTTAACCAATCACTGAGCGTGTGACTTCGATTTACATCAAACGACAAGAAATAGAAGGTTCAGATGTACATAGTATTCTGTTGTTAATGCAGTATATAACTGTCGGGGGAAAGTATTTTGTCCTTAAAAGCAAATTATTGTTATTCACTTACGTTCCCAGTGGAACATAGGGCTTCAACGACAGATTTCCACTTTTTTGTTTTCTGCCCTCCTCTTATCTTTTCAGGGTCAACCATTCTCCCCTTAGCCACTAAATTCTTACGTTCTGATAATCTGACTACCCCCGACCTTCTAGTTAGGGTGGCATTCAAACCTACAAACTCACTCACTCAGGCAGGACAAGCTCTGTAGGCTAAAAGACCCGGTGGACCCAATTAAACAAAATAATATAATTTACAAAATACTCCTCAATGACTGTGAGTGAGGT